GGCTGCCCTCCATCCTTCCTACAACTGGAATAAAGATGGAAACAGGAGCTGCACCCAGGTCACCTGTCAGGGCGCTCTAGCCAAAGTGCGGTGTAGGAATTCCTGACTTTTGCTGCAAGTGCCTTCTTGGGAGGCCTGCTGGGCAAAGGGCTCCCGCTGCTTTACGCCCTGGAAGCAATGCTGAAAGGTACTGCTGGGGGTTCTCTGCATGGGGAAAGAGCAGTGTGTTCTGTGGCCAACACCTCGGAGGCGGCACCCTGGGGAGCGTCTTGGCACCCCTGCTCCCCCGCCTGCAGGTGCAGGAAGGCCGGGGCTTCCCCTGCGGAGGGTATCTGCGGCCGGAGGGAGCTGGCAGTCTGAGCTGCTTGGTCAGAGGGCACGGCCCCTCTGGGCAGCCCAGCCCAGCCCCTCGCCTGCCTTCGTGCGTGTCTGCACCCACTGTGGCATGCAATCCACCTTTTCTTGCTGTTGTTAGTTGCCAAGTTGCGTCCGACCCATTGCAACGCCAGGAACGTCTATGGAATGCGCTCCCTAGAGAGGTCTGCCTGGCGCTGTCGTTATTTGTTTTTCGGCGCCAGGCTAAGACCTTTTTATTTAAAACTTATTTTGTTAAATTATTTGAATTAATAGGATTTTAAATTTTTAGCCGAGAATGCACCGGGGGTTTTTAAACAATTTTTTAAAATTGTTATATTGTTCTAATTTATGTATTTACGTATCCTTTGTGAGCCGCACCGAGGCTTTGTTGCGATGGGGCAGCATAGAAATGTTTTAAATAAATAAAATAAACAAACAACACTCCTCCAGGCCTTTCTGTCCTTTGCCATTCCCTGGAGTCCACTTAGGCTCACGCCGACTGCTTCAGCGACTCCATCCAGCCACCTCAATTTCTTCCTTCCCCTTCTTTTGCCTTCAATTGTTTCCAGCATTAGGCTCTTCTCCAGTGAGTCCTTCCTTCTCATTAGGTGGCCAAAGTATTTGAGTTTCATCTTCAGGATCTGGCCTTCCAAAGAGCAGTCAGGGTTGATCTCCTCTTGGACTGACTGGTTTGATCGCCTTGCAGTCCAAGGGACTCACAGGAGTCTCCTCCAGCACCACCATTCAAAGGCCTCAGTCCTTTGGCGCTCAGCCTTCCTTATGGTCCACCTTTCACAGCCATATGTTGCAACTGGAAAAACCATAGACTTGACTATACGCACTTTCGTCGGCAGGGTGATGTCTCTGCTTTTTAGTATGCTGTCTAGATTTGCCATAGCTTTCCTCCCCAGGAGCAAGCGTCTTTTAATTTTTGGATGCAGTCCCCATCTGCGGTGATCTTGGAGCCCAGCAAAATAAAATCTGTCACTACCTCCATTTCTTCCCCATCTATTTGCCAGGAAGTGAGAGGACCGGATGCCATGATCTTAGTTTTCTTAATGTTGAGTTTCAAGCCAACTTTTGCACTCTCCTCCTTCACCCACATCAAGAGGCTCTTAAGTTTTTCTTCACTTTCTGCCATTAAGAGTGGTATCATCTGCATATCTGGGGTTCTTGATATTTCTCCTGGCAATCTTAATTCCAACTGGTGATTCATCTAGGCCTGCCTTTCTCATGATGTGCTCTGCATATAAGTTAAATAGGCAGGGCGACAGTATACAGCCTTGCCGAACTCCTTTCACAATTTTGAACCAATCAGTGGTTCCATGTCCAGTTCTCACTATTGCTCATGGGTCCTCAAACTATGGCCCATGGGCCGGGTCCGGCCTGCCATGCTAATTCATCTGGCTTGCTATAGAGGCTTTGGACTGGCTGCACACACACTTGTCCGTGCGTGGCGAGGTGGGGGCTTGCACATGCAGAGATCGTTTTGAACTCGCTCGGAGAAAACGATCTTGCAAGCAAGACTCTGCCTCGCAGTGCACGCATGCAGGTGCGCACCCTCCACCCTGCCCCAGCCTGTGCCCTCCGCCCACACCGCCTTGGTGGCCCTCACCCATCTCTGGCACCTTTCAACTAGCCCCCTTAAAAAGTTTGAGGATCCCTGCTGTTGCTTCTTGACCCACATATAGGTTGGTCAAGAGACAAATAAGATGGTCCGGTACTCCCATCTCTTTAAGAACTTGCCACAATTTGTTGTGATCCACACAATCAAAGGCTTTAGCATAGTCAATGAAGCAGATGTTTTTCTGGAACTCCCTAGCTTTCTCCATGATCCAGTGTATGTGGGCAATTTGATCTCTAGTTTTGATCTCTTTGAAACCCTGCCGGAACTTCTGGTAGTTCTCGGTTCACATACTGCTGGAGCCTAGCTTGTAGGATTTTGAGCATCACTTTGCTAGCATGTGAAAAGAGTGCAATGGTGCGGTAGTTTGAACATTGTTTGGCGTTGCCCTTCTTTGGAATCAGAATGTAAACTGACCTTTTCCAATCCTGTGGCCACCACTGAGTTTTCCAAGTTTGCTGGCATATTGAGTGTAGCACTTTTACTGCATCGTCTTTTAGGATTTTGAATAGCTCAGCTGGAATACTGTTGCCTCCACTGGATTTGTTGTTGCTCAGACTTCCTAAGGAACATTTGACTCCACATTCCAGATTGTCTGGCTCAAGGTTAGTGACCACCCCATCATGGTTATCAGGGACGTTAAGGTCTTTCTTGAATAGTTCTTCTGTGTAATCTTGCCACCTCTTCTTAATCTCTTCTGCCTCTGTTAGGTCCCTGCCATTTTGGTCCTTTATCATGCCCATCTTTGCATGAAATGTTCCCTTCATATCTCCAATTTTCTTGAAGAGATCTCTGGTTCTCCCTATTCTATTGTTTTCTTCTATTTCTTTGCACTGTTCATTTAAGAAGGCATTCTTATATCTTCTAGCTGTTCTCTGGAATTCTGCTTTCAATTGGGTGTATCTTTCCCTTTCTCCCTTGCCTTTCGCTTCCCTTCTTTCCTCAGCTATTTGTAAAGCTTCCTCAGACAGCCATGTTGCTTTCTTGCATTTCTTTTTCTTTGGGATGGTTTTAGTTGCTACCTCTTGTACCATGTTGCGAACCTCCATCCACAGTTCTTCAGGCACTCTGTCTATCAGATCTAATTCCTTAAATCTATTTGTCACCTCATCCGTATATTCATCAGGGATATGATTTAGGTCATACCTGAGTGGCCTAGTGCTTTTCCCTACTTTCTTCAATTTAAGCCTAAATTTTTCCACAAGAAGCTCATGATCTGAGCCACAGTCAGCTCCTGGTCTAGTTTTTACTTGCCTGCATAGAGCTTCTCTATCTTTGGCTGCAGAGCACATAGTCAATCTGATTTCTGTGCTGACTGTCTGGTGATGTCCATGTGTAGAGTCGTCTCTTGGGTTGCTGGAAAAGAGTGTTTGCTATGACCATAGTATTCTCTTGACAAAATTCTACCAGCCTGTGCACATAGTCAATCTGATTTCTGTGCTGACCGTCTGGTGATGTCCATGTGTAGAGTCGTCTCTTGGGTTGCTGGAAAAGAGTGTTTGCTATGACCATCGTATTCTCTTGACAAAATTCTACCAGCCTGTGCCCTGATTCATTTTGTACTCCAAGACCAAACTTGCCTGTTATTCCGGTTATCTTTTGGCTTCCTACTTTAGCATTCGAATCCCCCATGATGATAAGGACATCATTTTTGGGTGTTAATTCTAGAAGGTGGTGCAGGCCGTCATAGAACCGGTCAACTTCAGCCTCTTCAGCACCAGTGGTTGGGGCATAGACTTGGACTATTGTGATGTTGAATGGTTTGCCCTGGATTCGAACTGAGATCATTCTGTCATTTTGGAGATTGTATCCCAGTACTGCTTTTCCTACTCTTTTACTGACTATGAAGGCTACTCCATTTCTTCTGAGGGATTCTTGCCCGCAATAGTATACCTGATGGTCATCTGAATTAAATTCCCCCATTCCTGTCCATTGTAGTTCACTGATTCCTAAGATGTTGGTGTTCAGTCTTGTCATCTCATGTTTGACTATATCCAGCTTGCCTTGATTCATAGATCTTACACTCCAGGTTCCTATGCTGTAATGTTCTTTGCAGCATCGGATTCTCCTTTCACCACCAGATACATCCGCAACTGAGTGTCCTTTCGGCTTTGACCCAGTAGCTTCATACTTTCTGGCGCTACTTGTCCTGTTCTGACTGTCACGGGATTCAGCCTAATGTGTGGGTGACTTACATGAAGAAGAGTCTCCTATACAGAAGGGATCCTCTGTGGCATGTGACCAAATACGGATTTTTTAAAAGCAATTATATGCATGACAAGGGGATAGACTCTAGTTGAGCAGGTGAGGTAAAAAAAGGGGGCCCCGGGTGCATTGCCGTCCCCACTCGCCCTGCCGAGAGCACTGAGCACCCTGCGCGGCAGGCTGGAGCCCTGGCCAGGCACCGGCAGGGACCTCCTCCTAGGCCTTCTTCCAGGCCGGGGCTGTGCGGGAGCAAGGCCCGAAGTCGCGCGGCCCCGCCGCGGGCGGGCCTGCCGCCCGGGCGTCCTTCCAGGGACGCCTCCCGAGCCGCACGTGGGGCACGGGCCGGCCGGCGGGGGCCGAGGCGGCACGTGCCGCTCGCGCTGCTCCGGGGGGCGGGCCGCCGTTCGCCAGTCGCCGACTCGGCCCGGGAGGCCCCCGGGGACGAGGTGCGCCCGCGTCCGGCGGAAGGGCGCGGTGCGCGGGCCGCCCAGAACGCGAGCAGGAGACGGCCTTGCTCCGGCTCCCCGGAAAGGTCCGCCGCTTCGCCCGAGGCGGCCCCGGGAGGTCCCGCGGGGGCCGACAGGCCTGCCATTTTGCCTGGCCTGACTGCCCCGCGCCGCCTTCTGCTGCGCGGGCGCCGCGACCAGCACGCCCCTTCCCGGGCGGCGCAGGAGGGACGAGCGGCCGGCGATCGGCCAGGCCCGCCCGGCCCGGCCAGGCCCGGGCGGCCGCGGCGCCGACTACGAGGCCCAGGATGCCCCGCGCCGGGGGGAGGCGGGTGCGGCGCCGCGCATGCGCCGCACGGACTCGCCTGCCATAATGCGGCGCCGCGGCTGAGGCCCCCGCCGAGCGGGAGGGGGAGGCAGAGCCGTGTATAAATGGCGCCCAAGCAGGACCCCAAGCCCAAATTCCAGGAGGGTGAGCGCGGCGCGGGCACTCGGCTGTTCGCACATGCCCCGGAGCTCCCTTTCCCCGGGGAGGGGGCGGCACGGGAGCCGGGCCTGCTCCGCCGGCCGCGGCGCCCTCTCTGGGCGGCCCGGCCCGCGAGCCCCTGTCGTTCGGCCAGCGGGCGGGCCCCTCGGCCGCGGGGCGGGGAGGGAGCGCCGCGCGGGCCTCGGGCGGGGACGGGGACGGGGACGGGGACGGGCCGCCTCCTCCCGAGGGCCGCCGCCCCGAGAGGCCCCGGCCTGCCCCTCGCTGAACGGGCCTTTCCCCGCAGGTGAGCGGGTGCTGTGCTTCCATGGCCCTCTCCTCTACGAAGCGAAGGTACGTGGGTCCGGCGGGCGCGGGGGCGGCCTGGGAGCCCGTGCCGCCTTCCCCGGCACCCGGCTCCTTTCTCCGGCTCGCCCCGGCCGGTCCCGCTTTCCTTGTGGCAGAGAGGCCGCCCGGACGGCGCGTAGCGGGGGACCGGGCCTTTGAGGGGTGCCGGCGGGGAACCCTCGGCTGGCAGCGGCTCCCTCGGGCATGGCTATAGGCTGAGGCATTTCAGTGGCTCCTTCACTCAGTTGCTAACTAACCGTTCTTTTTCATTGCAGTGTGTGAAGGTTGCCATAAAGGACAAGCAGGTGAAATACTTCATACATTACAGTGGCTGGAATAAAAAGTGAGTATTTCTGTTTCTCACATCTCTCTACAGATGCCTCCCAACCTCTGGAGATCCAGGTTAAGGTATAAGGTTAGGTACCAAACAGCTGGTCTACAGTGTGTATGTGAGACTGGTATTCAGCAGCCTGTGACTGCATCTCTTGGTGTGCATCCAGTCGAAACGATCCCATAATGGCACCCGATTGCAAACATTCAATTGTAGAGGCATAAATGTAATTATTATGGCTGTTATAGTTTAAGGAAATTTATTCAGCTGTGTAGCAATAGCAGACACTGAAAATGCTCTTGTTGGGCAAGGTCGTGGATTATTTTTTCCGGCTGCTGCTAATCCTGAATGCAACTAGTTCTGCTTTTTCACACTTCGTTCTGCCTTCTAGTAGTTGTGTTGTCACATGTCAAACCACAAAATTCTGACAGGCTCTTTAGAGGGGAAAAAGTGATGTCTTTTGGATAAAGACTTTGTTCTTCAGCTGCTGGTTGTCCATTGTACCTTCGGCACCTCCTGATCAGTCTGATGTTATCTGTTCTAGACCATGAAATCTTGCAGTTCTTATTTGGGTGGAAGTAGCTCTCCATCTGGGAGGGTAATTCTGGTCACGTGCAGTCGCAAAGTGAAGACCACTGGCTTTTCTAAGGCAATGGATGGAACAAGGGAGGCTCTTTCTTGTCGTGTAAGCTTTGAAAGCTGTTCTCTCTTCTTTCAGCTGGGATGAATGGGTTCCAGAAAGCAGAGTGCTCAAATACGTCGACACCAATCTGCAGAAACAGAAAGAACTTCAAAAGGCCAATCAGTAAGTATAAGCAGTAGAGGAACTGTTGTTTTGTGGTAGAGAAACTGAGTCTGCCTAGTAGTGTTGTAAACGGTGTTGTGTGTTGCATGCAGCAGTTCTGGATGTCTGTCAGGGAGGGGCTGGTGTAACTACAGCACTGAAGCACTTCCTGTCTGGGGTTGAGGACCCTTGAGGTGCAAAAGAAATGAACTTCTCTAGGCAAAGGCACAGGCTGCTTTCTCTCTGCCTTCCCATTTCCACAGATGGACACATGTTTCTTCAAAACCGTCTTTCAAAAGTATCGTTACAGTTCTTATTGGGGACTAACAAAATGCCTGTTGCTGGTACAGCAGTGTGTATAGGGAGACAGGGTTTGTACATTGTATGACTCTCCTCCAAGGTGGAATAGCTGATTTTGCTCTCCTCATGGGATTTAATTACGTCCTGATTTTCTCCCCAAAACGGCACTCAATGTGGCTCATTGTAATAACATACAGGTTAAAATTAGTGCTAAATAAAATGTAACTTTGAAACAGCAGACTCAAATGCTGTAGGGAAAATGGGCCTAGATGTAAGAAATGAAGTAGAAGGTCTTTTAGAATTTTGCGAAGCCGGCCATCTGTTCGTTGCACATGTGTACCTTTACATTATCAATGGGATTACTGCATATGTGGCCATCCTCAGGTGGCCAGTACAAAATTCAAATAGTCTGTGTAAATAGAAGCAGAAGATGAAGAAATTGTATTCTTGCTGCCAAAACATGACCAAAAGCAGGCGATGGTAGTAACCGCAAACTCTTCATATCAAGAATCAGGCTAAAAATGGACTGCTAACAGAAAGACTGTGCCAAAATGCAACTTAAACAGCATTCCTAAGAAATTTAAAGTCTACAGAAAGAACAGATTTGTATTACTCAATTCAATTGACTGTGAGCCAGAAGAACTGTAGACTGAAATCAGAGACATTATTAGGGAAGAATGCCAAAAGGCAATTCCTGTAGCAACAAGAAATGTAGCTGGGTGATCAGAGGAACATGGTTGTAAAGGATCGGCAAGAAGCAAAAGCAAAGGGTAACAAACAGGGTCAGGATTCTGAATCCAGCTTTTCAGCAATTATCTTGTAGAGACAAAAAAACCCCTATCATGATCAGACTGAAAAATACGGGAGTTTTTCCAGAAGATCTAAAAAATCAAAGGGAAATCTAAACCTACAGTAGGAATGCTAAAAGATAAGGGAATATACTATCTGACCAGAAGTAAAGTGGAAAGAATATGTGGAAGAACTATACAGAAAAGACAAAAGGATGACATCCCTTTGAAGAGGAATCCTGTGAAGGAAAAAAATCAGATAGGGGAGTGAAAGGTCCTCTGAAAGCACTGGGAAGGGACAAAGCATCTGAAACAGAGGTAGAGAGTAAAGAGCTGTTCCAAGCTTTGGGGATTGAATCGGCCTTAATAGAAATAAGAATATGCCGGCAGATACACCAAACAAAATAATGGCTCACAGACTGGAAAGATTCAATATACATTCCAATTGCTAAGAAAGGGGATGTGAAAGTGCCGCAACCAGAGGACTCCTGTGGGGCGGCAGAGATGTAGAACAAAGTCACACTAATTTTCCATGCAAGCAAAGTGATATTTAAGGTGTTGCAACAAAAGGCTTTACCCTGTATGGAGCAAGGAAATGCCTAAGGGTCAAGCTCAATTCCAAAAAGGGAGAGGGACTCAAGATCATCTTGCAAGTACACGGCATCCGTGAGAGTGCACCAAAGAATTTCAGAAAATCAGTCTATGCTTTCTAGACCACAGCCAAGCCTTCAACTGTTTGGACCATGAGACGCTATGAATGGTCTGGAAATAATGGGTGTGTCCCTGCACTTGATTTTCCTGATGTGAAACTTGTATCATGGACTAGAGTCTAGCGTCGGAACAGAATATGGAGAGACAGAAGGTTATCTTGTCAGGTTGTCTCTGTCAGCACAGGACAATTTTGAAGCACATCCACTGGATGTATAATGGGAAAAGAAAAGGACAGCACCCTCAAACCACAGACCAGCTTACACACTGAAGGTCTGCCTGAATGAAAACACAGTTGCCTGCTGGCAGTGTGGCAGGTGGAGGGGTGCCAACCTGGCCTCCTTTCAGAGGAGAATGCCAAGCCCAGGAGCAGCCATCAAGAAAGCCTCCCTTCCTGTCTTCACCGGGCATGCCTCCAGAGCGAGGAGTCTTCTCCAGAGACCTTAAAACCAACGTGGGTAGCTCTGAGACAAAGCATTCTTCTCATTGCTGTGATAGCAAGTTGCATAGGACTTCACAGCCACAAAGAGAATTTGGAGCAGTGTCCAAAAGTGACTCTAAAGCCAATGAGATGGTTGTAATGAGGGAGCTGAGTGCTTCCTGGAGCCAGGCCCAGTCACCTGGCCAACTCCTAAGTGCATTTCAGATGCAGCCCCACACAGAATATGCTGAACTAATCCAAACAGGAGGTAGCTAAGGCCTTCGTCACCATGGCCCTCTCAAAGCTGGGATATGTAGCTAAAGCTAGTTAGCCATTCTGGAAGCATGAAAGCTTGCACATTCGTGATATTTTTGTAAACGGCTTGGGATCAGGATACCGAAAGGAATGCCTTTTTCCTTATTTGCCCTCCTGCCCCCTGAGATCGGCAACAGAAGCCCTCCTCCGGGAACCCTCTGTGAAAGATGTTAGCAGACGGAGTACCCGGAGGGAGGGCCTTCTCTGCGGTGGCGCCCCGACTATGGAATGCGCTCCCCAGAGAGGTCCGCCTGGCGCCATCATATGTTTTTCGGTGCCAAGTTAAGACCTTTTTAATCAATATTTTAATATGTTTTAATATCAAATTTTATTGTATTTTATTAATTTGCAGCCAGAGTGGATCTTCAATTTATTTATGCTGTTAGCCGTCCAGAGACGTTAGTAATTGGACGGCATACAAATTTTATAAATAAAATAAAGTGTCCATTAAGGTATTTTCCAGCTGCGAATTTCAGAAAGGGGATTTGAAGATTTATGTTCTGCAAGGCTGAATAGAGATAATTCAGCTCCAAAGGAAGATGGGAAAGTGTAACTTTGGGAGTGCTTGACTGTTTCCTGGCCTTGGTAGTGAAAGGTAACAGGAGTATTAACTCTGGAACATTTTTGCTGGCTTTCTTTTTAAAGGGAACAGTATGCAGAAGGAAAGATGAGAGGCGCTGCTCCAGGAAAGAAAACGTCCGGTCTCCAGCAGAAGAATGTTGAAGTGTAAGAAACAACTTGTTTGGTTTTTTGAAAGGCTTTGTTTGTCCAAATCTTCTCAGTTGAAAATGGTACTGATTATGGAATGTTGCTTTGGAAAATATACCTTCCCTTCCTCTCTTCTGAAACACTTGACTTTGAAAGCACTATAAACAGACTGCAAATGGATCTAAAGTACATCTTGCATTCACACAGTTGATGTGGCAATCATAGATTGCAAAGGTCTAAATGACGACAAAGTAAGCACGTGACCCTTAAGTGGAAGTTTCCGCATCAGCACCCATGTTGCACTCATCAAAACCCTTGGATTATTGGATTGAAATGCGATTAGAAGTTTGGTCGGCCATCCCCTCAGCTGGATGGGATTTGAGCATTTAGCTGTAAGTAAGGCTGGCATCACTGCAATGCCTTCTTTAGAGGCCAGTGACCTTGCAATTTCTGTTCTGCAGGGTAGCCAGGGGCTCAGAGAGGCCTAGCTAATCGCAGCTTTTTGACGCTTTTTCAAATTGGCTGTTCTCGACTGACCTACTTTTGGTGGTGCTCCAGTTAATATGCAGCTTTTTTGAACCTTGGATTTAAAGGTTATTGAAGCACAGTTCCCAAGAAGAGGCACTGTATGGTCAAAATCCTTTTTTAGACTGTCACTGCTTCTGTAATGTTGAAGGTTTCTTGAGCTCACCACCTCCTTTTCTTACTGCAGAGCCCTACTAAATGAGTAGGGGCCAGGTTGGCAGCTCCTGTGCTGCAGCCCACTTCAAACAAAACTAGCTGGCCACTGGAATTTCGTCAGGGATTGCTGATCTGACCAGCCTCTGACAGAACAATGCAATTGATCCTTGTAAGCTTGGAATCGACACTGTGTTTCTTCCATGGATGGATGGATAGAACCACACTAACTCAGAGCCCATATCTGTCCACTGGGTCTTTTCCTATAACAAAATAACATTAAAATGTGGGTATGGGCAGATACCGGTCCAGGGAGGCTGCCCGTTGCCCAGGGATTTGTTGAATGGGACAATAATCTCCTTTAAGGTTGTGTCAGTTCTTCAAGCTGAGCTACGTTTTCTTAAAGGTTCCATGTTTTGGGTCTGACACTCTCTCCTTAACTCAACCCCCATTGTGCCTAGATTTTTCAGACGAGATGGAGCGCATACAGTTTGCAGTTTGGAGACCCCTGCAATATCGACGCGGTGAGTTAAGGATGGATTGTCACACCAGGATCTTCATCCTGAAATCCAAATTCCTTGCTTGTGTAGAATTTCCATAACCACTTTTAAGTTTCTCTCTCTCTCTCTCTCTCTCTCTGCAATATGATGTATTTGTAAAGGATTGATGGTAAATCCTCTGTGGAGTTAACTGGTAGAGGACCTCTGAGTGATTCTTAACATATCAGACTGGTTTTAAAGAGTTCTTCATGAGAAGTTTTTTTCCTAGTTAACTCATGGATTGTCCTTCTTCGCTATTGTACTTCCTCTGCTAGCTCTTGGCATTTGGATTTGATTCCTAGGTGTTGCATGTGGATGATCCAGTTGCCTTGCAGGGGGCTGGGAAATGGGGTAGAGGAGTAACATCTTGAAATCATGAGAGAAGCCACTAGCCGTTTCTTAATTCAGCAGGTATAAACTGGCCAGTTCAGTCCCTGATACACAAGGCCACATAGGAGAAAGCCTGGACAAATTATGATAAAAAGCTGCAGGATGTCGGCAGTTGCTTGCCCAAGATGTGTCCAAGAATCTTTCAGAACTTTCTTCTGTTAGCTGGAATTGTGGCGAATCCCTCCTGTCAAGATTAGTAGACTGGCCTGCCACGCTTCTGCTACTGGGGAAGGTGGGCTGAAAGAGGCTTCTGCGTCTGATCAGGCTGCTGGGAATATTCCCTTCTGCAGTGCGACTGCAGCTGCGGCAGGTGCTGGGTGAAGTGCGCCAGCTTTGCAGAACATTAGCAATCTGAAGCTCTTGGTTTTGTTCTCACAAGTGCCGAGTCCGGCTTCTTCAGTATTACCTGTGCACCAAAGGTTATGCCACTCGGATGCCGCTCCCTTAAATACTGGGCCTCCCTCGGCAAACTCACACTGGCGCTTCACTTTGCAGTGGCTTGGTCACATGCTTATTGGTCCAGTGCTTGTGCTTTGCAGCTGTGAACATGAACTTGACGGTACTAGCACAGAAGCCTTTTTTGCATGTGGAATAATGTGTTTCTTTTCCCTTTGGCAGGAAGACCAAAAAGAACAAACAGAAAGGTAAGAGCATCTTTTTTGGCTGTGTCTCTAGCGTGCGTTAGGTTTGCGGCGTTTTGACCAACATTCCATGACTGGGGAGAAGCTGAATGTCGTTTACCATCCTTTCCAGCATAGCAGCACTCAGACTGAAACTGTTAAAAGTTTCAGATAGTTTCACACATGGAGCATGTTTAAGCTCTCTGTGTGAAACTGGGAATATTTCTGAATAAAGTAGGCACTTATTTATGTACATTTTTATAGACCGTCACAGTAGTGACATGGCTGTCTGCACTGTTCGCAGCTGATGGAGATCCATGGATTACAGTGCTGTGATCTAGAATTTCTTAACATTCACACCTGTTGTACTAATGCAGGTGATCTGATATAGTTAAATGCCTTGGTATAAAATAGGAGTCAGAAACTTGTAGTTGAAAACATCTTGAAGGTCCACAACTTCCATAGTCTATCAACAGTGGCTTTGCTGGCTAAGAATGGGAATTGTAAGCCAAAAAACCTGGATGGACTCAAGTTCTCTGCCCAGCCTGAAACATAAAAGTATTATCAATGGGTGTATCTTACATATTCAGAACTTGTAGTATTTCACATCAAGTAATTTATTCTTTAGAGCTTACTGTAGAAATCTAACTTATGATTGATTTGGTTGACTTGGTATAAGAGTGTATAAAATAAGTACTAAAAGTGCATGCAAAATGTACGAAACTATAAGTAGACTTTGCAGGGTGGTCTTCTGTGGCAAGAATTTTTCATATTATTTCAAGAATATAATTTCTGCCAAGTTCTCTACCTTTGTTACTTGTTGCTAGTAGTTAGGAGAGACATACCTATGATTCAGAAGTCGGCTGCAGTAGTTTCTGATTTGGAGGCCTTTTTGTTCATTGCTTTGTTATTTTGAAGGAATAATTCCTTAAAGTGTTTTCACACTATATACATTCTTAACAGAACAAGTATTTCAAGAGTGCTGTAATCCACAGTGCAATATGCAAGACGGGAACTGCTTCTTCCTCTTGTGTACACTCTGCTGGAGCTTAGAAGAATTCTTTAAGGCATCTCTTACAGCATTTAATTGTTTCCAGTGATTAAAACGACTCGATTAACTGACAGCCAGCCCTAGAAGACTTAGCTGGGATTTAATCCATTTCGTAGGGAGACTACTGCTTGTGGTTTGCCTTGGCTAACATGCTGGTTTTCAAGGAGGTTGGGGTCCCTGGGTGTGCTAAAGTGAGCATCCTCTTGGCTGAGGGATTGCCCCTTTTGGGTTTGGGGGCAGGGTCATGAGGGGGAGATGAAGGACAGGGGTGGCCAAGCCTGTTCCTGAATAAATTAACATAGCACTTTTTAAAATAATGTGTTGCCCAGTTAATTGGCTGCAGCTTTTAGCTGACCAAAGGGTTTCTAATTCATTGAATTGATTGATGTGTAATTGGGAAATAAGGCTTTTAACAGAGTATTCCAATGACAATTTTAAAATATATAGTTTGATGGCAGGGAAAAAGGTATGTGTCTGATTTCTGCTCTGCCCAAGAGATGTCTTAACTCTGAGTGTATGTGGGAAGTGCCATCCATGTAAAACAGTTGGCTAAACACAGCTGTGATTCTTTTGTGTGTTGTATTTAGCCCCGGGAATTGGAGAAGGTAGCAGCACCAATGAAAACCCTCAGCCTCCCAGGAAGAAAAGGGCTCGAGTAGACCCTACAGTTGAAAGTGTAAGTTTTGGGGATATCAAGGGCTGACCTTGTTAGGTTAACATTGGTTTATCATTCATATACGGTTAGCTTGCAGTGCAAAAACCACGATTTCTAAGTTGCTTTGGGTTCCTTGGATCTCCCCAGTAGGTGTAGCTGCTAACTTCGCAGCAGAATCAGTCTTCAGTTTCCTGTTCCTTTTTTTTTTTTTTTTCAAGCCAAAGGCAGAAGAATACATTCTGTTCCATCCCAGCAGCATAACATAGGACTTGCACTTGGTACCTTTCAGGAGGAAACATTTATGAACAGGGTTGAAGTCAAGGTAAAAATACCTGAAGAGCTGAAGCCGTGGCTTGTAGACGACTGGGACTTGATCACCCGGCAAAAGCAGGTAACTTTGTAGTCTTGCAAAGGGCACGAAGGGCACAGTTCTGTCACCTTTGCATCTGATGCTCATAAGCCTCCAGGCTCCCTTGAGGTGAGAGAGGATCCCCGCCACCTTGGCTGCCGGAGCCATGCTTCTTCCTGCTTCTGTTGGCTCAGCGTCTGTGGCTTCTTTCCACAGCTCTTCTATCTCCCTGCCAAGAAGAATGTAGACTCCATTTTAGAAGACTATGCAAGCTACAAGAAATCGCGAGGAAACACTGATAACAAGTGAGGAGGGAGAGGGAGAGGGAATTCGGGTGGCTGGCCCGTGCAGGCCCACGGGCAGAGTGTGTTCCTCAGTCTTGCCAGCAGGGACGAGTGTGGAAGCGTCAGTCCTCTGACCGCAGCGCTGGGGCTGGCCTCAGGTGTTTTGCTCATGCAGACCAAGCACCTGCTACTTTCCCAACAGGCAGCATGAGACCCAAGGCATGTGGATGTGGCCACCACCTCCTCCATGTGCTGCTGCAGATCGGTCTGGCCGGGGCTGTGCGTTGCGCTTTGCCTCGTGCCTTGCAGCCGGCTTCCATCTCCTCCCGCCTGCTGCTGGGCAAACCACACGTGGAGCCAGTGGGGAGAGAGTCAGACGATTCACCCAGCAAGCTCCCGGTCTCATTTACCCATGAGGGCGGCCTCAGTCACCCCCACGATCTCCTGAAATCGTCCCGGAAGCATCTCGGGATGCATCCAGTTGTATTTTTAAGTCTCTAGGGTCATTTGACCAGGTCTGCTTCACTCTCAAATTGAGCTATGAGCTGAGCAGGATCCTCATGCCAGGTGTCCTCGGCCTGTCCGGGGCATGTGTGCAGGAGCAAGCTTTTAGAAAGGCCTCACCGGTTGTGTTTCCACACCAGGGTTGCTGCCGAGCACACAAGCTGCAGGGACAGGCAGGGCCACCATCCGGCCCAGTCGGTTTTCTGCATAACCCACTCCGCCTTTTCCTTCCTGACTCAGACAGTGGAAGGGCAGTTTTTCTTCTTCTTGGTCAACAGGAGAATGTAATGGCAGAGCAGCAACAAAGGACCCAGCCCCCGTGTTGCTTGAGGGACACATTTCCCCACACTGGTCTGGGGGAAGCCCCACACGCATGCTGTCCCTCTGTTCTCCCTAAACATTTCCACTCCCTATGAAAAATAAGTTCACCTGCTGGCCAAAAACAGAATGGCAGCTTCCACAGCTGGGGCCTGTCGTCTCTAGCATTGCTCTGCTGCAGCCAGGTGAGGAAGAGGTCCTTCCTGGAAGCATCCCCCAGGCTGTTCTGGGAGTGGACGAGTTCCACTGTGCACGCACCCAGGAGGAGGTCAGCAGAAGGGAACTGGTGGGACCCCAGAGGCATGGGGAGACCGGCTGGGAGGACCGGGGCTCCCTCCCCAGTGTAGTATCTCTTCACGCTCCCTTGACGGCACCCTTTTTTTCCTTCCGAGCCAGGGAATACGCGGTGAATGAGGTGGTGGCAGGCATCAAGGAGTACTTCAACGTAATGCTGGGCACCCAGCTGCTGTACAAGTTCGAGAGGCCACAGTACGCGGAAATCCTGGCGGACCACCCCGATGCGCCCATGTCGCAGGTGTACGGTGCTCCCCACCTCTTGCGACTCTTTGGTATGTATGTAAGCAGGGCAAACAGCGGAAAGGTGTTCTGCCAGCACCCTTGGAAACGCCACTTCCTTGGCAAAAGCCGGGAGAGTTCCATGGCATCCCTGGATCTGCATTTCTGCAGCGTGTCCTTAGGTTAGGGATGCTGGACCTTTAGTGGGTGTGGCCAGAAAAAAGGGTGGTGGGTGCCCCGTCTCCTGTGATGCCTTTATGGCTAAACTAGATGCGGGTGGAAGGTGTGATCGTGCGCATCTCGGAGAGGCTTTCCTTATTTTCTCGCATCTCTCCTTTGAAACAGTCCGGATTGGAGCAATGCTTGCTTACACGCCTCTGGATGAGAAGAGCTTGGCCTTGCTGCTGAACTACTTGCATGACTTCTTAAAGTATGTATAGTTGATTGTTTCTGACTTCCACCAAGCTGAACGGGGAGCGTGTCCTGGTGCTTGTAAGGACAGGCGCACTTCATGCAGAGTCTTTGCATGAGAACAGGCGCTGTGGGCGCCAGCCAAGCTCTGCTGCACTCTGTCTCCCTGGCAGCATTGCAACACTCTTGGTGCGGTGCTCCTGTGTTGTGTGTGCGCTCATGTGCGGGGACAGGGGGCACCTGCTTTTGGGTGGCCTCGTCTTCCAGTAGGCCGGAACTGGACTGAAAGGCCTCTTTGGTGGCCGCTTAGCTCCGCAGATTTTTTCCGGTGGCTGTCTTTGCTTCTAGGCTTTTCAGAGAAGTCCAGGTGTAATAACTGTTGTCAATTCAGGCCGGGGCAGGGCAAAATGTTTGAAAACACCAAGTGGGAGAAAAGCAAGCTTACAGGCAGAAAACAGCATGTTGTAGACAAGTTAGGCCAGTACCTTCCTCTCTGGCATTCTGTCCTTCTGTGTGGATTGTGCCGCAGGAGTATCCTAGCAGAGGGAGAAGTCCAGTTTGTGCCAGCATACACAGTGGACCTCCCTCCCCCAGCTCCAAAGCGTGCCACAGGAGTGTCCTCACAGCCTGCCCCAGTTCTTCAAGGCCCTGGGGAAGTGGGGTTATGGGACTAAAGAACAGCTTGAAATCATGTGAGTTGGCAGAGGACCAGTTCGCACTTTGTTCAGAAAGTTAAGCTAATGACGAGGCCAAACTGTGGAATTCTGTGGTTTGGGAGTAGATGTTGTAAGCCGCCCCGAGGCTTCGGCGAATGGGGCGGCATAAAAATGTTTTAATAAATAAATAATAAATAAAATGTTGAATATTTGTCCTGCACGAAGGGGCACTAACCTCCTTCTCGGCCGGTGCACAGTTCAACCCTGTGGCTTTTCCCCCTCTGGTTCGCAGGTATCTAGCCAAGAACTCCTCCACATTGTTCAGTGCAAGTGACTATGAGGTTGCACCTCCAGAATATCACCGGAAGGCTGTGTAAGCTGCTCACTAACAGTGCTAGTGTGAATTTACGATTGGTGTGCATTGCTGGAAGGGGCCCTTGGATCTCTGTGGCTCTCTTGCCCAGTACCATGTTGTCCACAGTCTCTCGCGCACGTATTTCTCTCTGCGAAGCTGACGTGTGTGTCGAGTGAATAGTGTTTGTGTCTTCAGATGGAACTGTCACCATCCAAGTCCCGGGGGCTTTCTTCAGTTCTGAAACAAATCGCTTAAGTAAGAGAGGCTTCTCGAGTGCTTCGTTGAATCAGTGGGTGTTGGATTGTTGCTGGAAATGTAAATGACATTTCATAACCCAAGTCCTGCATGCTTTTAGGTCCTTTTTCCTTGACACCAAGCAGTGCCTGGCTTGGTAAAGTGTTGTCATGTCTTCTGCCCAAGAGACTCTTGCTGCCAACAGAGTGGGGAGGACCAAACACAGGTGTACACTTGAAACTTTGGGGGTGTTGGGGGGAAGCGTCCTTGTAATTTCTTGGTGTTGGGAGGGTCAAGTGTGATTGTCAGTCTGTTCTTTGCCTGCATTGTTACGGAACTGTGGAGCTGTTTTGTCTGTTGATTTGACTGCACCTTCTAACATAGGACAAGTGGATCATTGTCTCACAGGTTTTCTGAAGGGATGTTTACAGGTCCCCTAATAAACTTTTCTATTTCAACTGTTAGTTTGTCTTGTTGCTGCCTGAAAAACCAGACCTCTTAAAGTGGAAGAGGAGGGTGGTGGAGCTTCCATGAATCTAAATCAAGACCTGCATACAAACATGCTCCAAAAGAGGTGCTTGCTTCTAAATGTTCAGATGAGGAGGGAGCAGTGTTGATGAGCAGAAAGAATAGACCAGTCCACATGTTATGATTGCCTGTGGCTTGAACAACCCATGGACTGTCGGGGTCAAGTACCTGCCACTTTACTCAGCAGCTCCGACTTGGCTCTTTTGTAGGTTGCTTAGCTGTACATGTGGACGTGGGTCACTGGGTTGTTTATCCCCTAGACCCAGCAGACTGATTGTGGGCTGCTGTGTAAAAGGACAGCAATAACACTACTCGTTGTGTACTTGAGATATTCCTGAAATACCTCTTGCTTTTTGCTCACATCTGTCTAAAGGCTGTCATTTTGCAGATACCAGTTTCTAGATTGACCACGCAATAGGCCTAATGGAACTGGAGCTTGGAAAGAACATTCAGGTTTACAGGAAGATTGAGTGCTCAGGCGGGCCTTTCCTGCTTTATCCTGAGGTTTCAGAGCCAGTTGCAAAGTCCCACTGGAAGAAAATGTGGTCAGGTGTTGTGCAAGGCCCCCAGTGTTGTGGTTTGCTGAGTATATGTTTAGTTATATTGTATGTATCACCTACTTTTTTTTCCTCCTGTGGAGGGACTCAAGGCAGCTTACATAGCTCCGTTTTTCCCTTTCAGCAGGTAAGTAGGACTGAGTCTGCAACTGGCCCAAAGTCACCTGTTGGGCTCACTTTTCCCAGGCCCCGGTGCAGCGCCTCAGCCACCACACCAGCTCTTGCTGATAACCCAGTAGCCAAGCTTTTTGGAGATGCTTACAGTAAAAATTAATAAGAGGAGGAAAAACACTGCAAAAGAAAAGGGCAGCAAATGAAATGAGTGCAGGCATATAATCCCAAAATATTCCTTTGGCCCAGGGGATGCTTGGGCTCTGGCATAGAGCCAGGGCCTCAGGAAACAGGCTAGGGCCAGGCCCCTCGATTGTCCAGCTGCTGGGCCTGAGCACAAGACAGGTTCCATTCCAAAGCCAGGCCCAAAGCCCGGTTTGAGCTGATTTGAGATAATCGGTTCTGTCCAACAGCTACACCCCTGGGAACTTTTCTGGGAAGGTGACGTTGCTATCCAGCCTAGCACTGCCTACCTCTACCAGACCCAAATCCTCCCCGGTACAGCCCCTTCCAAGAAAGAGTTCACAAGCTCCAGGAGTTCTGAATCGGGTGTAACACTTAATTCCCATCGCTTATTGTTTGGAATATTGCGAGGAGTGCCTGCACCAAGCGCTGCCTGGTGAATTAAACCCTTCTGTAGCTTCCTGGCTGGCCTCCGCAGCAGGAGACCATGTGAGCAGAACGAGCACTGAGCTGAGGCCGCTCCATTGTTTGGCTTTTTCCTGCCTTTTTCTGCAGCTTGACTTGTGGCTTCCTGCTCTCAGTGGCACTGTTTTCTGCCCACTCCCATGTGAGCCCCGCATTTTCCATTGCGATAAATCACATCGCTCAGCCCCCTGCTCACCTCTTCCCTGTTCGCTGGGTGTGCGCACGGTGCATGCTTGCTATAATCGTCAGACTGGCAGTATCGGCCGGTCTCCAGTTCTTCTGCCACCTGTCAGCCGTGTTCTATGGACGGATGGTCAAAGCCAATGATCCAGAGGACAGAAGACATTCCTTGACCATCCAAGGACTGCATCCCAGCCATCCTTTCCTCCTCCACATTCACCAAGGTGCAAGGATGTCTTCTTTCTGGGTGAGATGCTTGTCTTTTGTTTGTAGTAGCTTGGTACCTCTGCTGATACTTTATCCAGGAGGGAAAGGGGTGGAAGAAGGTAGACGGTGCTTTTTGTGCTGGTTTTCATTTCTGGAAAGGATGTGTGAGACTTTTTACCTCCCTTTCAGTCCATCTTGCAGGGGAGAAAGATGCAGTCTTTGCTTCCTTGTCTCTTTGCCTCTGATGCTAGTTGAACACTTGTGGGGCTGGGCCTTGGCAGTTACGGTTCAGAACAGTAACCCTGCATGTCTATTTGTAAATGTTTGTGTTCTCCCAAGATAACAGCACTCTTCTCTGACTCCTGTTGGATGGTCAATCACCCTCCTTGTTCCTTTGCTATTTTGTATGCCAAGATCTCCAATCTTCAGAAGACGCAAACTAATAAGGCAGGCCCAATTCTAAATAATGGAGTTTTTAAACTGACTTTCACTGTTTTAAATGGGTTTGGTTTCAAAGATGCTTCTGGAAAATGTACCTGCACTGGTTCTTCAGGGACCGTTGTCCTCATGCTTTAATTTCTGCACAGACTTTCCCATGAATCCTTTTCAAATTGAGAAGAGGGGATTGCATCCTCTGCCTTTAGGTTTTCATGGCCTGTGAGGGGTGGGGTCAAGAAACATCTAAAGTCCATGTAGTGGCTAATCTACTGGGATTTGAATCAAGACGAGGAATAAAATGGAATCCTTGCATATTTGCTGATTTAAATAACAAGCTGCATACCGAGCTGCTAGCTGATTATACCTAAGATCTGTACCACCAGATAACGAAGGAAGGGCAACCATTTTCCTGTAGCAAGACTTGTCAACAGCAGAAGTTCTGCCCTCCAATAGCTGCTGACTGACTTGACAAAGATTTCCAGTTACAGAGTGCCGCAGAAGATAATTGCAGTATGCAGAACACGCAATTATGGTATGTGGATAGCAGTCATTTGATGGTGTATGTGGCGCAGCCCCAAAGAAAAATCGTACTGTAGCGGCCAGTTGGAGCAAGGTAGCCTCTGCCCTAGCTCAGAAGGTTACCAGAACAGCTTAGGAGGTGGGGGCCGAGGTGGACGGTGGCACAGCGGCTGTTTTCGATTCCTACATGCACATGGAAAGGTGGACTCTGCTCAGTGAGCAGCTGCAGCTGATGGGCAGAAACTTAGACATGTTTACATCAGCATGAGTTTCAGACAAGCCACCAGTCACTGTGAAAGTGGTAAAAAAAACCCCTTTATCCCAATTTATTTATTAGATTTATATCCTACCTTTTCCCTTACAAAGTACTCCAAGCGAATTCAAGTGTTGAGCTCCCCTCTGAAAATATCATATCGTAGAATAATACATTTCAAAGGACCTATAAGGCCACCAGGTCCACTTACACCCTCCCTCCCAGAGGGCTGTCCGGCTGCATCTTGAATCCTCACGTGTGGGAGAGCTCACAACCTCCCTAGGTCAGTGGTTCCACAGTCATACCGCTGCAACAGACAGGAAATTTCTCCTGGTGTCTTGCTGGAATCTGCCTTCCTGTAACCTGAGCCTGTTATTCCGTGTCCTGCACTCTGGGAGGAATGAGAAGAGATCCGGACCTTTCTCTTTGTAGCAGCCTTTCAAATACTTGCAGAGTGCTATCGTATCCCTCCTCACCCTTCTCTTCCTCAGGGTAAACGTGCCCAGTTCTCTCAGTCTCTCCTCGAAGGGCTTTGTTTCCAGTCCCCGGATCATCCTCATTGCCCTCCAAAACATCCTGTCCACAACAGCTCCGCTCCACTCTTCCAAGTCCCAGGTTGTGACTTCCCTTAAGGATGCAGTCCGTCTCACGCTTGGGCTTCCCTTTCGTCTTCTGCCTTTTACTCTCCATAGTGTGATTGTCTTCTCCAGGAAGTCTTTTTTTCTCATGATGTGTCTGAAGTGTGACAGCCTAGGTTTTGTCACTTTTGCTTCTAGAGAAAGCTCTGGCTTAATTTGATCTTGGACCCACCTGCCTGGCTCTGTTGGTCCAGAGTATTTGCAAATACCTCTTCCAGCAGCAAGTTGCTAACACATCAGTTTTCTTCTTGTTAGATCGTGATCGGGAGTACAATAGTGTGGATGAGCTTGGCTTGGTCTCCAGTGAAACATCCTTATTCTTCATGATCTTTTCCAGCTGCTTCTTTGCTCCCCTTCCAAGACTAGTCTTCTTATCCCTTTGCATTGATGGCTGAATTAAGTCATTGGTGATGAAACTATGAATCTTTCATAATTTCAATTTCTTCATTGTTGATAGTTGTATAATTCTTCTACGGTCACAATTTTTGTTTTCTTAACAAGCGAAAGGCCTGCCTTTGAACTTTCTTCTTTCACTTACATCAAGAGGATTTTTAATGTTTATATTTATTGTAATTTATTGTTGTAAGCCGCCCCGAGGCTTCGGCGAATGGGGCGGCATAAAAATGTTAAAAAAAAAAAACATCTCAATTCATTGCTGCTTTCTACCAGTAGTATGTTGTTATCTGCTTATCTTACTGACATATCTTTAAATTTAATTCCTTCTTCTGACTAATCCAGTTTTTCTTACTATGTGTTTTCATACAGATTGAACAGACCAGGAGATAAAATACACTCTGACACCTTTGCTTAAGGGAAAACCTTCTGCTTCTCCATATTCTATTCCAGCAGTAGAGTCTTGTCCATGCTACAGGTTCCGTGTCAGGACAATCAAGTGTGGAGGCGCACCCATTTTTTCCAGACCGACCATAGCTTCTCAGGGTCCAAACAGCCAAAGGCTTGGCTGTGATCTAGAAATAATCTGATCTCCTGAAATACTTTGGTGCACTCCAGTAGACAATGTGTATTTGCAATATGCTCTTAAGTCCCTCTCACTTTTTGGAATCTAGCTTGATGGTTAGGCCTTACCTGCTCCGGATTGGGTAAGGTTCTTTGTAACACCTTGAACATCACTTTGCTTGCGTGGGAGATAGGTACGATGGTCCTCTGGTTGCTGCACTCTTTTACGTTGCTTCTTTTGAGGATTGGAATGTGTATTGAATGTTTCCAATCTATGGGCCATTATTTTGCTTGGCATAATTACGTATTGACAAATATAAGAGGTTCAGACAGTATATTCCCCTGTTGGTCTTTCAGCATTCCTAATCTAGATCTTAGCAGTTAAGCAGAGCTTAGTATTTAGAATGAATCTCAGTTCAACTTCCAAGTCTTCCTCCTGCATATGCTATTATATATAATTCTAATTTTCCGTTCTGGAGAGATTGGTGTGAGGGTGGACTTCAGTTTAACTTGATTTGGGGACTGGGCTTAAGCCAAAGATGTCCTTGTTATGTGGTGCATATGTATCAGGATGTACTTGAGCTATTCCAATTGTGTGAGATCCAAAAATGAGCGGAGGCAGTGGCACGGAGCTGCCCGTTACACCAGAGAATGAAGCCGGTCCACCCCTCGCGTCTGCTTTTGTTTGTGCTCTCGTTAGGGCTGATGGTGAACACAATTAGAAATAGTGCTGACATGAAAGGAATTGACCTCAGCAGGAAAAAGCATTTCATCAGCAGGTTTGCAGATTATATAGGTTCCTGCAGATGGGCCAGCAGCTGCATTGTTGCTTCCTAACTGCCTCTTGCTCTTCATGGGATAACTTGCCCCCGGCTCTTCTGGGAGGAGGGAAGAGATCGCGTAGTTGGGCATTCTTGATGTCCAGACTGTAAGAGCATTTCCTCCAGGCTCTGGGATCTTTCCTTTCAAATGTCACTGAGCTTCTTTCTAACTTAGGCGGAGATGCATGCTGGGTTTCTGTCCAGTTTAAAGACAGACTTCAGGCGATGCGGAGATGTTGATCCCAAAGGAGCATGCCTTAGATTGTTAAAGTGTGTGTCACCCGACTGGTTGCATTGCCGTGCATCATGCACTGCCTTATTTGTATCCCCTCACTCACGGAGCCGCATAACGGATGAGAAACAACAAACGAGACTGGGGAATTGTCTGGTATGTTCTTGATTCCCCCTGCCCAACTCCCTAAACTAAAAAAAGTCCATGGGGAAGGCACGGGGCCCATCAGGCACCAGTGTGGTGCTACTTTTAAGGTAATTATTACCACAACTGCAACCTGCTATAATTTTAGGTCATCCACAGGCATGGCCAGAATTCCTAGCATGGAGGCTCTGTGCAGGTATAAAATTAGGGATTATATTTTCAGCTTGCGCAAGCTCCAGCTGGAGGTCCCGAATAGGGTTCATGCTTGTGATTCCTGCTTCATGGTCAACTGGACCTTAGCGCTCTGTGACATGTATTGAAGCAAGGACAGTTCACACTCCAAATTTTGAGGAACATCAGCACACCTTTGCTGACCGTGCAGGTTGCAAATGAAGAAGAACCCTTTGCACTGCTTTGGACCAGTTGCTGACCAGGCAGCCTCTCTCAGGCACCTGTGAACCTAGTCTTGCAGGTGCTGTTATTACCTGTGTGGGCCTCTGTAAGTGACCAACAACATCTTGTTACTAATCCTAATGTTACTTCTTCTAAAGCTAAAGAAGGTAAACACATTTGAGAGGCTGAGACATAATTTTCCTCTGCCTCAGGAAGCTGTGCTGAGAACTATATTTGTTCCAGCCCTACTGGCTTATCCAGCCAGGCTAAGGATGGCGTTCATAGCTGTGTCACCAGCTGCCTCTCTTGCTAGCTGCAGTCCGATTCTTGTGCAAAGAAATGGATTGCAACCTCTGCTTTGCTGCTCTTTTTATCCCTAGTTTGTTTAGCTCATGGGAAATGCTGGAACGAAGAGGCCCTTCGTCTCCCACACTGCCTGCTGGAAAGCACACGACTGCAAACAGCTTGGAACTGCTCTGGGCTTGCCTGCTTAGAGCAAGAGCCTTGGAAGCAGTTTAGGGGCATTTAAGGTATCTGTAGTGATTGGCTCGGCTGCTGTCAGAAACCTCCCATTAGTTTCTTCGTTCTTTCCATACCCTATTGTGCCAATTTAACTGGGTGGTTCTGAAGCAATAGGGATGAAAT